GTGTCGGCTTTGAAATCGGCACTTGTTATGTCCCCGATGTGGGCAGCTAAGATTTTGCCATTGATGTTGACGGGCCTAGAGATGGCCCGTGGGCGGCCTATGAATTGGCCCCCGGGTGAACCATGGGCCCTAGCTGCTAGGCACGACCTTTCGTTGACCCACATGCACGGGCCATCGTTGTCCAATGGAAGTTCATGGGATCGCTGACAACAGATCCCACATGACAGGGCCATGACCACGCATGTGCTGCCCATGGGCAGCCGAAACCGACCCACGGGCGGCTCGTGGGCTTTCCATTGGCGGGCGCATGCACAAATTTGACGTTTTCTCTGGAGCGGCAGAAAGGTAATCGACGATCTGACGTAACCCATCCGTCAACGGGGAATCAACTCACACGGAGTAGGGAGAAATAAAGGAATCCTACTCCTTACGGCACGAACTGAGACGGGACGTGTTTTCCCTTAATCTTTGCTGGACGCCTAATGACACTGCCCGTGCCACAGTTTCTTACTACTTGCGCCAAATCCTGCCTTTCTTTTCGCTCTCTACCCCGCGCACGCTTCCCAGCCTTGCCCCAACTAGTTTGGCCGAGTCTTGCACCAAAATATGACAGCGGCACGGCTACGAAACCGTCATCAATTGCTTGAAACGTTCCACTTTCCCCTGGTGAAATGCACCCGCTTGCAGGCGAAGGTAATGCGATGTGGGAGTACAAGACCACGAAAAACACTCAAACATGAACCCAGAGAGTAAACAACTGGAATTATCGCGGTACACATCTTTGAACCTGCTCGGCAACCATCGTTACACATCACGAGTGTTTTCCTGTCGACACGCGTCCGTTCCCGATACTCTTTGATTCGTACCAACAGGTGCATAGCTAGGCAACGTTACGCCTCGACGCCTACCTCTTCGGTATTCCACGCTAGTTTCTGGAAGAATGTAAGCTGTTGGATAAATTTTAGGATCGGCTAAGATCGGTTTGGGGTTGGGTCAGGGGTTAGTTTCTGCGTGTCCCCTGGCAAGTCGTTCTCCGAAATACACCTTCTTTCATTCTTTGCCTAGGCAGCTTTGCCTGTTGCTGCTCGAAGCCCCGAAACAAGGCACGGCAAAGCACGTCATCTTGTGGGCCATTGGCTCTACTAGTGCTCTGAGCCATCAACATTGCCGGGTGAATACTGCACGTCTCTTGAACGAACGCGTGGGGTGTATTGGCCTGTTCTCCCTATTGCTGGCGCACCCCCTTTCCCCGTTTGATATATTCGGCTTTATATCATCTGTTGTTGGTCCGGTCCACCGACTCCAACCAACCACTCGTGGCGTGAAATGAGCTGCCCTTGTGCCTATCGTGACAACCTCTTGCGTGCTAGCACACAGACATGATATCGGTGGCTCAAGCATGAAGAAATATCCATTGTACTTTCGGCAGCTCGAAACTCGAGTAGAAAACCAAGCTTCAGGTTTCATGTTTTTCGGACCAGGGTACCGTGTGACCGAACGTACCGTGTGACCAGACCTTCATCGCATACGGGGCGCCGTTCCGTACCACTTCGTCACAGGCACGGCTTCGCTCCAAAGCTTTCTACGAAATGGCCAGGAAAAACCTCCGGTGGCAGATGGTTGCCCTATGCGGGACTTGTGCCGCATTTTCAACCGTGGAGGCAGTGAATGAGCTATGGAACCGCGCAAAACACACTCCTCTCATCACGAGCATGGTCCTCGTAAGTGACTACCCCGTTGCTGTCGTCCTTGTCGGAGGGCTGAAGTAATGATACCCCCTTGTTGTACACTGCTTTGAATGATTTTCGCGTTGAGCGCACCACCACCGGGCATGTTGTGCGGGTCATCGAAGCGTGGACGTCGGTAGGAGTCGCAAGAGTTCTCCGAAACACGTTGTGCCACCCATTGCAACCCGTTGGTAGTGCCAAGCACTCCACGGTGTGCCGTGAAGCACTGACTACAATACCACGGCCGTGATGTAGCCGAACATCACCTGATTTCTCCGTGGTGACGAAAAGCCGCAAGGAAGTCAATCTTTCCATGACCGTATCGTTTCCCCTCTCTAAGAAGCAGTCGCTAACTCCCGCCCACGCGGGTTTACGGTAGGTGTATGCTGTCGATGGCACCACTGTGTGACCAGCGAAGCAATGTGACAACTGCACCAATATTTCCCAAACTCCAACGCCATAACAAACAAACACGCAAACATCGTAAACACTTGTTGGGTGCACGGGTATAACACCTGCAATAGCTTCCATTTTGGGCAGCCTGTCTCTGTATTATTTGTAGTGGAAGGGTCGTAAGGAGTTGTTTGAGTGGGCGATCATTTCGGTTGTACGAAATTGAGGACTTGCGAGGATGAATATGGAAAGGTCGGGGGAGCACATCATGCCTCGCCCCGCCCCACCTTCCAGTCTACACATGTCGTCGTTCCCCCGCTTGGTCACCGTGACCCCGTACGGTCGACCCAGAGCTTGTACCGGAGGGTTCACAACATCCAACACCAGCGCTTGTGCGGGTGGGAGGAAAGTAGTCCCTACAGTTCGTGCCGACTCGGCGCAGAAGTTGAGAGAGAAGAATTGGACAACAGTAGAAAGAAATACAACGAGGACCCCATGAGGTGCACGTTACTGCTCACACGTGATCGAAAAGGGATCTGTTGGCGTTGTGCCCAGACGGAGGGAATCGAGCGATCAAGACAGTGCTGAATGTAAAAGTTGGCAAGCGTACAGGTAAATACGGGTGCTACATAGGCTGCATTGAAACCATCAGTGGCAACAGAAACTCGAGGCAACGGTGAAAGCGGCCTCAACCAACTTCACGAGCATGAGAACTGTTGTTGGGCCCGTCACTTTCCATGTGAATTGTGGTTGATTTCGTGTTTGATGTGTTCTCTCCTCAGCCATCTCTAGGCAATGGCGAAATCTGATCCATCGCAAGGAAACCTCGCAGACCTCCCGTCTCGAATCATTGTTGAGTCAGCTCAATAGACCATTTTGTTGCACATGGTTGTTTCTTTCGTTGATGACAGCTGGTCTTTGAATCTGAAATGTGTTCCTTGATGGTTGTTACGCCAACGTTGCTGTGGAAAGGCTTGCCATTGCTTGCCCATCAATGCTAGCTGCCAGCGCGTAATGGGGAAAACCACAAAATCAACTACTGATGGCCGCTGTGGATACAAAATGCGATACGTACACCTGTCTTGAAACATCGCAAGATGAGAGCATACGGAGACAGTGGTGGCGGACACAACGAGTCCACGATAACTTCCTACTGCTGTGGTGCCACAGAAGGGACAGTTCCATTTGGCGAGGGTGGTATTTGATTGAACGGTTCAAGCCGTGTCATCCGTTGTGTGTTCCATGTATGCTCGTCTTCTTTGTCGCGGCGAATATACTACCGTAGGCACACCTCAGCTCCCGCCTCAATGTATTGTCGAAGAGATTGGAGAGGAGCAGAGCGATAGGAGGCGTCCACAACTACTGGTAATCGTTACACAACCGGGTTTCAACTATGTACCGTCTTCGTAGGGAGGTCGATATGGACAACATCGACAGCCCAAACTCCACGGCGATACCGTCATGGATAACGACTGGATGCCCAACGGTCCCATGGGACGTCCACCGTGTCCCAATGGCTGTCCCACGGGACACGTTGGACGTCCAGACGTGACATTCTAACAATGTTGGGCCCAGAAACCATCAATCTCTTCCAGTCTACCGAATCACCAGCATTGCAGTCGGCGAGATACTATGCAGTCTACTTGTTGTTGTCCCCGCCCACCGACAACAGAATCAAACGCACAGCCAGGAATCGGCGAGAAGCGAAACCAATCGTTCCGCGACGACATCGGTACATAGAGGACGGCATCCCAGACATCCCCTGCGGAAACAGGGTTGGTGCGGTCGACCCGAAGGACGGCTCAAGGGTCGAACTCAGGGGACATCCCTCGAAACGACGACCCAACAGACGACCCATGACATTCTATGGGAGACCCATAGCCGACCGTCGGCCCATGTGTAGCACCGACGCACATGAACTTGGCCGAAAATCGACATCACAGATAGGGCGTTCTCCTTTTTTGAGGGATTTTCATGGACATGACTCTCGTTTCCGAGATATTCCCAGCAAAAAGTGATCTGCACATCAACGAGGAGCGATAGATCATTATCGAGAGTTGCCCTCTAGCGCGGAGTCCAGCGACCATTCCAATAGCGTGAGCTCGCCGTAATCGTGGGTTTTAATTTTACCATCCCTTGGTAGAGATATGCCGTGATCAGCAGGCCGCCTAGGTTCCCCGGCAAGCACGCGATCAATCTTGCAATGCCTTGTTATGCGCAAAGCTGCATCAGAACAACGAAATTTCACCGAGTGTGCTCAAAACGTGTTAATTGAGCAAAATGTTCTCAGCAACAGACGAGAGTTATGTCCCACGAGTGGTGCGTAGGGTGAAACCACCTTTAACTGGTGAGGTACTGTGGTGCTTCGATTGCCCTTGAGCAGAAAATCAGATGCCTAGTGTGGATATCATCGCTACAACACCACGACGGCGGGGTCAGATTCTTGACAACCGTATCATGAACAATCGATCCTTCACACGAAAACACTGGATTGAGGTCAGACCTGAGCGAAACATCCGGACCGCAACATATCCTACCATGAAATTTCCATTCTTCACGTTAAAGAACGTGGGAAAAGGTTCGAAATAGGTCCGAACAGAAAAAGAAATAACGAGATCAACGATCGTACCACCCTTCGAACATCGTCGTCCCTACCCACTCCAAACTGCATAGTGAAAATGCAGTCAACCGTCGAACATCACCTCAGAGACATTCCTGCGCCGCTCGCTAAGCAACACCACTAAGCTCTCATGACTCTCCGATGTGTTTATTCCCGAGTACGCATCCCTTTCTCTTCCGTCCTTGTCTTTTCTCTTCTCACCACCCAGTCCAATCATCTGTTCGGGAAGCCTCTCGGAGAAGCGCATTCCCTGACGACGTTCAGGTTGGGTATTCGCGCCGGGAACCCCTCGTCGTGGCTGGACTGCTGCTTCCACCGTACGGGCCCTCGCGGTCGAATGTTCTGCCGTCCTTCTGTTGCGCTCTCAGCTGATGTCGATCTCGGCGGCTCTTTGTTCTGAGGCCGCCACGGAAGTCGCACGACATCTCGGCGCTCAAACGCCAAGGCGTCCCAGTCTTCCGACTGTCGGCCTCGCACGCGCCAGTAATCTTAATCCCCTCCTGCACCACCCTTGATGATACCTCGGAAGCCGTAGGCCGGTACGGGCAAAACGTTTTGTTGCAATTCTTATTCCTCCGCCCAATTCTGTCCCCACAGGCGCAATGACGGCCGTTACTCGCTGCACTGTCAGCTCTGGAATCGCACTTCTCCTCGTTGTTGCCGTCTTCCCTCGCCGTGAATGTTGTCGGAGACCACTCCGGGACCTCGGGTGTTCCTCCACTGCCGCTGCTGCCCCTACTGCTCTCCTGCTGGCGCTGGTCGTACCGGCCATCATCGAGCTTCGGTGACCCCTCTTCGTGTTGCGGATGTCGCTGCCAATCCCCAGCAGACATCGTGCTCTCGCAAAACCCTTCGCTGAAGTACGCCAGGAATGGGATCTCTCCGTCAGCACGAATTGATGCGCTAGGCTCCAACCTCTTGTCTTGACTTGTGCAGCCTGTAGCAGCACGTGTGCCACCGGACGCTGGGAGACTGGCAGCGCTCCTACTGTGGAAGTGTGTGAGTCCTGCCTCCTTCGACCCGTGGCCACCCCTTCGTCTACGGGCGGCGTTACCCCACGTGCAGCGGGCTACAACCGTCAGAGGAGAAGGCGATGCACAGGGCCGACTGTCTTCAACACATTCCTTTTCACGGTTGCGTGTGGAGTCCATCTGTTTCGCATCCACGGCTGGCCTTCCCCGAACACGGCTAACACGCGGGTGACGAAGACACGACCGGGGTGAATACAACGCTGGGCAGAGTAGAGGTGCAACCTCCGAGGCAGAGCGGCCGGCACCGACAGAGGTGGGATGGAGCATGGAAGGGCGTGGGATGGGTGAAGCCAAGACGGGACCCGTTGCCAAGCCAAACCCCTCGTGCTTCTCTCCTCCGCGCGCCTCACACTCCTGGCTCCTGTCAGCAAGCCTCTCTTCACGTCGTTGCTGTGCTATGCATCTCATCTCGGTTAGAGACCCACAAAACAAGTCTTCCCCGGTGACTCTAGACCCCATGGAGTTTTCCGCTGCTGCCATCGGTTGGCGTTCCTCCTCCCCCTTTTTGTCGCTCGCGACCACCGCCAAGCACGGTGAATGATTTTTCTCAGTGCCGGGAGCTACCAGAGTGGAAAACGCTGGCGGGCTTGTGACGGTGTCGCCATGGTCTTCTGGTGTGCGGCGGCGGCGAAGCCCGAAAGCAGGATTTCCGGCAAAAGATACCTACGAGGCGGTGGCAGTGGAAAAAGCAGAGACGGGTAGGCAATGAACGGCGACAACGCACCCACGGCGGCATATTACACCAAGACTTTCTTGCGCGGGTTGGAGACTGCTCAAAGAAAGTCAGTGTGGTGCACATCAGTGTTTTGTCGTTGGCGAGGCAAAGGCGGCAAAACGAGTTCCTTCTTTGGGGTCTAACGTCAACGATTTATGGTGAACTCTCAGTATCATTTAGCTGTCAATGCCTTGCTTCAAGCCGAAGGTGTTGACGGTGTATCGTATCGTCCTACACGCTTGCTGTACTAGCAACGAAGAAGACGAGAATCCCGACATTGGCTTCGAGTCGGACACCAAACGCTCCACTTATGGCAAAATTCGTTTAGATCACGTTTTCTTGAAAAGGATCAAGAATGGCATCGGTGCAGAATCAAGTATGCTAAGTCTACGTTGGAGTAGCCTTCAACTCTGCCTGGCGCTTGGAGCTACGATGAGCTGCCACTGTTAGGCTCTCGCGTGACCCCCCAAAATCGTGTATGCGCGTGGTCCGATTATTCTTTTTTGTGTGTGTGTTTTGTTGATCCGCACAACCAACTGTCATTCGCGTGCAGTATTCTCACCTCCGAGCCATGCGTGAGCACCGATGCGGTATCTGTTCGCCCCTCGGACATCGACTGCTTGTTGATCGATGTCGCAGATATTCTCATGTCTTGGAGACTCAGTTCCTGCCGCCACAAGGTGGTAATGTATTAGCCCCACCGACTTCACCATGTAACAACGCGAATGGTTGCTGGCGAAATGGGGTGAGAAAAGACAGCAACCATCGCATGTCTGGGCCAAGACTATGAAATTATCCGCGGCCATTTCTTCCTGTTTCCTCTTCTTTGCTCTTTCTGTTCTTTGTTCCATTGTCTTTCGTTCTTTCATCTCTTTTTGACCGGGATCGATCGTCTATACCCCTCGGGAAGCCTTTTTAGCCTACTCCTTTGTTTTTTTCGTTTTGTTCGGGTAGCAATACAAGTCGTGCCTTGCTGGATTTTCTGGTGTCCATTTTTATTGTTAGACGGCGTACTCCCTTTTTCGGGGCAGCTGGCTTGTGGCCACGGCCAAAAGAACCCAGCCGTAATTACTGCTTATGGGCAGACCTTTCGTCAAGATAGGCCCAAGGCAACTTGTTGCTGTTCACATCACCTTCAATAGCCAATCGTTCCCTTCAAACATATCGCGTTCTCCCGATCCTGCCTCCCCTTCCCCGATATCATCAGTCTCCCTTTCTGTCAGAGCTCGAGCGTTAGGACCGGCGGCTGCTTCCCTTTTCCCTTCTTTTCCTTCGCAACTGTTCGGGCACCGGGACCGTCGACCATTTTCACGGGGCTTTCCACTGATGCTCCCGCTGACGGTTGCCCTCGCAGTAGCACTCCCCCCATGGCCCTCCTCCCGACAAGGATAACTGCTGTTGCTGCTCGTCCTCTGGCCCTCCGTTGACCCGTGCCGTGGTGAGCTCGATCTCCAAAGGAGTCGGAAATTCTTGATAGCTTTTGCGACCATCTCTTCCTCGCCCACGAGGCCTTCGGCCGCGCTCTCCACTGTCGGTCTTCGACGCGAACGTTCTCGTGTTGCCTCGAGTTCATCCCCCGCTCCTACTGCCTTGCTAAAAGAAAGAGCTTCGTATCCCCCGGCAACTGGTGTTCCTCGTCTTCCACCTGTTGCCATTTCTCCAAGTTCAATATCTTGCGTAGCAGGTAAAACCAAGTGCGCGCGCCCAAGGGAGAAAGCATCCTGCTGCCCCCCTGTGGTCGAAACTGCTGCCCCCCCAAAAGCAACTTCCCCACAACCCTCACGTAATTGACCATGAAGCGGGGATCGTTGTCCTGAACTACCCTCTGCCGTTACCAACAATCGACTTCCACCACTCGGTGCAGCATCGGCGTTGGCTGTTGCCAGCATGGTCCCGATCTGGTTTGTTTCATTTTCCACGATGGAAGTATCTTCTATCCCCAACTCTTGAACGTTTTGACCACCCTCGTGCCAAGCAGCGGGGAGAGGAGAAACAGCTGTGAGGTTTCCGGACACGTTTGAATTTCGAGCCTGCTCCCCAAGTGTGGCCAGGAAAACCTTGTGGCATGGCGGTATTGATGACTTCTTGGATGGCTGACAGCTTTCGATACGGTTTTGGTCAACCTCCTCTTCCTCCTCCTCAGACGAAGTGGGAGGAGGTCGTCTGTCGTCATCTGCGAGGCCAAAGATCAAGGAGGCGAATTTGATACGTACTACGAAGTGCGTTGAACAGGTCGCCCACCACGTACGCTGTAGCATGTCCATCAGCGTGTTGGTCTGGCAGCTTTGGACAGTCTGCTTTAATCACAACGTCGGGGCAGACGTAGATTGCCGTGTCCAAACACATCAAAAGGCCAAAAAGGGCAAACATCATTGCGGCTAATGATGGCGATGGACAGCAACAGGGAAGAAAAAGTTGCATCACCTGAGACATCCTTCTCGTCGAGGCTGGCCAGCTGCGGCACGGCTTCGACCATCCTCCTCCGGTAGTGAAGATCGCGGCAAACCGGGTTGGCGGTCAGGGTGAGCGACCAGAGGTGAGAGCACGTGCCTAGGTGGATCGCTTGCTCCGCGTCCTTCACGCAGTTCGACTCGAGATCCAACACCTGCCCGAAGAGTGATCTCCCACGAGTGAGCGTGAAACTTGCGATGCGCATTGATGCCAATGGTGTTCGCTAATTCCTTCGTGCCTAGACCATCCCTCCCAGCGGACCACGCACCAACAAGTCGTAGTAAAACCGAGCTTGGAGGAGAGTACTGCCGTCACTCGGAGCTGGTAAATCATGCCAAAAAAAATCCGCGTTTCCTCATACCTCACCACTGCAAGGAGAGAGACGACATACCGTACTGTCTTCCGAATTGTACAAGTACGAGCAATAGCGCCTCCCGCGCCGACAGCCTTCGTCATGGACAACTACAATACCAGGTTGTGGGAGAAGCTTCCGACCCAACAGCCTATGTCCATTAACAACTACACCGGTCCTACAAGACGAGGCCAAACGCTTCCCATCAACGATCTCGGGTTGCTTGTTTTGTGCTGGCTTTCGACCCAACGCCACGGACCTCGAGTCTGTCGTGGAGGGCGATGGACGTAAGGTCCTCCACGTCATTAAACGCCAGGTACAGCTCCTCGAGCCCTGTCAGCGCCCCAACTCCGTCCAGGTGGCGAACTCCGCACGCCGAGAGCCACAGGACTCGGAGATTAGGGAGAGAACTACCCAGATCCCGAAAGGACGCCAAAACGCTCCCCCGCTCCAGGCGGAGCTCTGAGAGGAGAGGCAATACGATGCCCAAATGATCCACCTTGCCGAAGGAGCGCGAGGAGGGGCGTTAGAGGAAGAAACTCCTTGTTGGTAAAGTAGTACAGTCGTGCCCGCTATTTGCTTCTTGTGCCGGTATCACTCACGCGAAAATATAGAAGTTGATATCTAGAGCGTTGACTGCATGGGCGTTTTCATTTCGGAGCCTAGGACGAGTCCTCCTTGTGGTTACTCTGCACTGGGTGCGTGCGGTTACGCAGACCCTATTACCTAACCCCAACTCGAACCCAACTTCCCCGATTGGATGCTTTATCCAACATGTTTGCTTAACAGAATAACCCAGTGAAGGCTACTGATGCGTGCAAGCCCGAGAGTGTACTGCTGTTATCTCGCTCTGTAAGCCACCAATTTGCATGCTTACGAAACAGCATGTGATGCGGTATGCTGTGCCGGTGATATGTATCGCGGAGCACACCATCCAAGACGCCGAGCGGCAGAAAGTACTGAAGCTCACGATTGAGCTGGCCGAGAGGAAGAGATTTTTCATGTTTTCACTTCAAATCAGCGTTCACATCCATTGTGCCGTGTACTCCAACCCGTGGTCTCACAGGTTTCCTCTGTGGAAGGGACTGTATTATCAGCAAGTAGAGTCACCTGTGTCGTATTTGTGTCCACAGCAAGGGCAAGGTGACGTACATCTCGTAGGTCTTCCTCGCCTGTGATTATCCTCAACGATGCCTCCGAGCAGCCATCCCCCGCTTCTGCTACCCTCACCGCCCCCTTAGTCCGTCCCGAATGTCTCATGCCAGTACGAAATACTGTGCCCGCCTCTCACCCAATCCGAAGGAAGCAAGCCAGCATGCCCAGTTCTGCTCGGGATGTCATTTTGGAACCCATCATGAAGAGGTGCCCGCGTTCACGGGTTCGAAACGTGTAATGAACAGAGCCTTCGGAAGAATCGCCAAATGAGTGACGTGCGCCGATGGGGCTGTCAGAGACACTGCAGAGGAAGGGACGCGGAAGCTCGTTCGCAAACTGGGGGCTACGTCAAAGTCCAAGGCTGCAGAGGGTCGGCAAGGCTGTCAATCACCCACTCCTAGGTAGCCAAACATCTAAGTGTGCGCTCTGTTCGTCGCAAGGAGGATCAAGAGTCGCTGCGTGCAGCATATCGACCTTAAGTTTCAAAGCGCAGAAAGATTAGTCTAGACTACTGCTGCTGCTGTTGTGGCGGCCAACCATGTTGAGTGAAGGAGACAGCTGACACACCAGTGCTATAAGCTACCGCTGCGACGAGGGCCAACCGTTTCCGAAAGTACAGACGAGTGGGAGGTACTCCGGACAGTAGTTCCCTCCTCCATTCTACGTTTTCCTTTTCAGCATTCCTATATGGTCTGGGAAAGGTGCCTTGTGTATGTGTTCCATGTCCCTGCGCTACAGGCGTCACCGGGTTGACCGTACCTGGAATCCCACAAAATTGCGCCGCAATTTGCAACCGTGAAGTCGGGGCGGCGATGCGACACAAACCAACACCCAACCACCAGCTGGATCGCAGGTGTAGTGTTGGACGTCAACTTGCTTCAATGGAACCTTGCTCCGCACGCCGCATAGGCCTCGCCGTGGCGACCTGGTGACAGAGCCAGGGAGTAGGGGCGGGGTGACTGCTTTTGGAAAAAAAAAAAATGCCGGTTCGAACGAAACGGCGGAGATTGTTGTGCGCTTGTCTTGCGTTGGTGTACGAATCGAAGAACCCTAACCGAGCGACTAAGATACAAACGGCCATCCATCAGAAGGCCCAAGCGCTTCATGCCGAGCACGCAATACCCAGCTGCCCTGTAGTCGCAGCTAGTCCATTGAGCACCAAGTCAGCTGCTCACATTGTGCCGCACTTGGCACCGGCTCCTCAATTTCCGATAGTGTGGTCGTCCGTTCTTGTCTGCTCTTTTTCGAAGGAGTAGTCTACACCTCACAGGCCAAAATCTCAGGGCTGAGAAGCAGGGTATCAGGGTATAGCCCAATTTGCAGGACAAGTGGACAGCGTCCACACGAAGGCTGTATCGCGTTGTTTCGGGGAAGGGAGAAACCATGGAATCTTTCAACGGGGCAGCAGCGCCAACGCCTCTGCCAAGCGAGACTTTCCCCTACCAGGTACAGCCGTAGTGTTCAGTTCAATTCACGTCCTTAGGTGTCTGCGCTCACTACATATGTAAGCAGCTTCAGTAGGCAGCCAAATCTGAAAGAGAATGGTGTAGTGTGCAGTTGTTGGAGGCATGGGCCCCTTTCTCCACTCGGTTGTTGGCGGGCTCATTTATTGACCTTGTGGTGTTACCCATAGTCTTCACTGCCGCTGTAGGTGGTACGACATATTTTTGTGACGCGAGTGACAACACCGTGGGGGATAGATTCATTGGAGCGTCCTTCGCCTTTGCACAGCGGGTAGCGTGCAGAAATTTCTCGGGTGTCTATAGACCTGCCTGACACGTAGAATACCATCGACTAGGATTTGAAAAAGACGTTTCGGCGTTTAAACAAGTTCATCTCCTTCAAAAATGAAGGCTGGACTACTTAGACTACATACATAAATGCATCGCCCCGTCATTGACGCGTTACCAACATTGACATAGAGACAGGTGTACCCATCACTACATGTATATCGACCCGTAAGTACGACAAGAGCAGTTCGCATCCCAGACGTTAATACCAACGCTTCTCGCCTGTATTCCACGCGTCGATGGCACAACAGGGCCGTTTGTTGGCGATGCAGCAGCGGAAGCGTCACGCAGACCACGACGCCCTCCTCTTGCAGAACCGAATTAACTTGCTTCGAAAAGAAGAGGCCAAGGTGACAACATGTACCAAATATGATACTCCCTATACAAGCGTAGTGTAAAACGTCTGCTTTGCACACATTGGTGCCCATCTGCGTAGATTCGACAATGCATATACTATGTACCTTGGATGGTCGCGGGACCTGGGTCTAGCACCACCAGGACCTACCTATGGCACGCCATGCGACAACCCAACGTGTCGACAGAACCATCAAACACGGGGTGAAGATCGTGTTGCCCCGCCAACGCAAGCGTACCACGTCAACAGCAGGTGCACCGTGGCGGGCGTGGACATACATCGTCAAGGTGTTCCCCCATGAAAGAGCAGAATTGGGATCGGAGCAGCGACGCTCAGCTCTATGGCCCCTCGAGCAGTTTCATTGCGATAGAAGCTCAATTCTAAGCATCGCAATGCATGGCACGGGGCTTGGAAAAAGAAGAGGAACAAGGCGAACACATCGGCGGTAGAAAAAAGAACGTGCTCGGGAAAGCCCATGTTGGTATACGGACGTTGCCACGAACCCACCCTGTAGTCTATTCGCTGCCCAAGACAACATGAATCAGATGGGAGCACCGTTTCTCAAGTGTGTGAGCTCCTGGTACTTCCGACATGGGCAGGGCAGCGCCGACAGCCCATTCGTTACATTGCGTTGACAGGCATGGAAAAAGATCGAGACAGCCAAGCAGAGGTCAGAAGAGATACTGAGACTACGGGAGCAAAACGAAAGACGGGTGGTAGAGCGCATCTCCGCTGCCGAAAGACAGGCAAGTCACGCGCCCAACCCCCCCTTGTGCGTGCGTGCGTGTCGGAGTTGCCAGAGGGCATTGCTTCCGTTTTTCCCTTGGTCTGTGAACGGGCGATACCTTTTGGAATGGGGTACCCGGATACGTTTTGATATAAAATCGAGGGTACGTCTTGATCAGGTCGTCACAAACATCCCCCCACAACAATCAGGCTCGTCATCATGTCGAGATGTGGGAATAGGCGCAAATCGAATTTAGAGAAGCTTGTATTCCATTAATGGTCGAACCGTTGCGTTCAGAACAAATACGAATCGAGACGGGCGTTCTCTTTCCATTTCCTACAAGGGTCTCTTCGCAACGTGTGTTGCTTGACGTCTTGCTTCCCTCTAACAGGCGGATAATTGCAAGCTCCAGAATCAGAGAAACCAAGCCGTCGAAGAAACGGCCCGCCTCAACCGCATTAGGATATACCATGAACTTGCCGCTGCTAGGAAAAATAGCGTCGCTCAGGTACGCCAAAAACTGTCCATGTGGGAGGGACCCGTGCAAAGTCCCAACAGTACCCTTTTTCAGCGACAAAGCGGATTTGGTTTTCACGCTAGCCAATGAGGGGGAGGGTAGTTGGGATTGATGTTGTCTCCGGGCATATGTAGCGCTGCCATGAGGCAAGACTCATGTGTTCAGGAGGAGAATAACGAGTACCCTGAAAGACACTTGGGAACAATGTTTCGATCCAGCTGGTGCCAACGGCCAAGGAGAGCCAAAGAGACCAATGAAGCACCCTTGGGCGACAACCCCAGAAAGTAGTACCGGAATTCGGCGTCTCTTGAGGAGAGATCACTCAAGCAGGACGGTCAGGCCCAGCCCAAATTAATGGAACCGGGAAGTGGCAGGCAGAATCACCCCGATGTTCTATTCCGGCACGCCAAGCACACACGGTTTGTGGTTGTGGTGAGCAGCATAAAAATCAGTGAAACATGTGGTTCTCGACCCAGTTCTACGCATGGAGGTACGGGTGCCCACGCTATGCGTATGCAATGGTATGTCAAGCGCCTACTTGTACGTTGCGCAGGTACGGCAACAGAAGCAGCAGATCCGGCAAGATATCATCACCATGCGGCAGGATCACGTTCGAGAGAACAGAGAAAAGAGGTGCATTCTCGCTCAATGTGTTACATGTAGCGTTACTTCCTCGCTTGTAAAACAACACACAAAAGAGGGCCATGGTGCGTAGGCCAGTGGACTCGTAGTTGCCATGGAATGATCCTTGGAAGTCGGATAGAGTGGGTGCCGTCTCTGGCGCTTTGGAGTCGCACCTCATTTTATCGGATGATGCTGATGACTGCCTCCGAAAGAGACCGTTCACTAATAATGCCACCTGCCCCTGTTGCCACGTACCTTCGTTTCTGAGTTAACTCCGCCGAGCAACTTTTGTTTTTATCGAACGTGTCAGGTCCGATATCAAACAGAGGGAAGAGGAAGCAAGAAATGCTCGGCTGGAGGGTAGGGCACGCCTAGTCGAGGAGTCCCGCAGGTCCTACGAGGATCGCGTGAGGAGGGAAGAGGACGAGATCGTGGCCCGCGAACAAGAGGTAGGCTCTTGACAAATCGGAAGAGGGACGGCGGCGACGCTCTCGAGGACAGCGAATTTCCGCGCCTGCTGTAGCAAGGGTGGCCAGTTGGAGCTAGCTGCACACAGAAAGGTGCAGGAGGACCTCAGAGTGCGAGGGGATGCGAGCCAAGTGATGGGCTTCGCTTAAGCGGTTGTGCTGTGTCGAGGCATGGTGTCCAAAATATGAACTTCTCTACGGGACGACTCCGCAACAGAGAGTAATGGCTTGCACCATCGATTGCAAACAGATGTAGTCGATGCCGCGACCACCTTTCAGTGAAAATACTGCTCGTATACTGTAGGAGTGTTCTTAAATTCCGACGTGTACATGCTTCGGTTTCGTGGCTTGTTCAGGTAGCACGCATGGAGCAAAAGGAGCTGTCCCTAATACAACAGCTCAAGAACACCCAGGTGAGCTTTGTAATAATGTTGTTGTCATGATCCTTGCCCCAACGGTATTGCGAAAGTTTGGCCAATGCCCAAGAGGTCCAGACTGCGGTGTAGACGTGTTGTTGCCACACTGGGACATTTACTATTTCCGCTCGGCTGTAGAGGCCTACGGAGGTGGAAAGTTGGGGAATGAGCCATATTGGACTCTACAACGCTCTCCGCTCAACGCGATC